CACCTTCCCATGAGTAAAGTGTGTGGCCAATGCGAAGACGGGAGAGAGTAGTCTCCCAACCTCGACACTGATGACAAGGTGGCCAGTTACCTATACTCGGTTTAATAGACTGAAGTTTGTTAGAGTAGATTAGGCCAACGGGTGTGAAGGTGGGTAGCTATTGCAGCAAAATAGTCGGTAAATGTAACACCTCTATATGAAACTGGTAGGTCAGGTACTGCTGACCGTGCAGCAGTATCTGCCTGTACAATTTTCTGATTAATAAAACACCCCTTTCCTCTCAGTATTCACTCAGCTTCTCTCGATATTCGCCTTGCATCTTCCTTTTCTCCCTCCTCCAGGTGCTGACAATTCGTGTATATAAATTTCTTTACAACTTCCATGTGTGAAAGCTCACTTGCTTGCTCTAACTTCACGCATTCTTTCTTGATCACTTGTTTGCATTCTGATATCGCAGAGTTCACTGGTGGTTCAAAGCCCCCAGATGGTGTTAGATATTATTATTATAATCAAGGGGGAAGCGCTAAACCCAGAGGATTATACAGCGCCTGGGGGGGGGGGGGTGTGGAAGGCATTCAGGCTTAATTCGGGGAACTGGAGCACAAATCCAATTCGATATGCTAGTTTTTCCTGACAAAATCAACTGAAGTCATTCATATGTTTAGTGTTTTATCAGCAAAGTTGTATGCAGTTCTCATAGTTTATACCATTTTTGATGTCACTCTAGTTTTTTCATTTTGGACTCGACGTGCTAATAGGAATCCATAACTAAAAGTCAGCCATTCAGCGTTCATGATCTCCCACTTGCCCGGGGGATATTCCCCCCCTACTTACTATGATTATTTTTTCAATGATTTGACAACCTATAAAGGCACACACAAATTAGTCAGCCATTTTTGCCACCCAGCACAGGAGATTGACCTCGGGGAAAGTTCCACCTTGATGCACTCTAAACCCCCTCCCCCCCCATCCATTTTTGACTTGCAAAAACTAGTTGTATCAACTGATTTTATTTTCTCTTGTATACTTCTCTAACCCCCTGTTCTTGCACACTCCTACCCTTCACTTTCCTCATCTACAGTCCTCCTCACACCCCTCCCTGCAGCACTGTATGACTTGGAAAAAAAAAAAAACCTGTTGCTGCAACTTTGATAAGAGTTTATCTCTTGCATTGCTATTATAATCAAAAGGAAGTGCTAAATGTTTCTTGTGCTAATCCCTAGCTTGCCATATGCCTACCCTCCTAACTTGGCCTTTATACATAACTACTTCCCTGCAGCACTGTATGGCCATTGTACATTAATACTTTTTTTTTATTTATTTATTTATTACAGCATAATACCTGGAGGGGGTTCCAGGCGTCTTGCAGCCCAGTTTCATGCCAAAAAGTGCTCAATATTTACGTATGATACTAATCATGTCACACAATCCATCATAACTTAGATTGACCCATCTATCATCAGGCGCACTAATTAAAATTCACGTTTCTGGTAATTTAGCTGTTGTGTGTGGAAGTCTTACTCTCCCACCTAACCCTTCAAGGGAGGCTCCTTGATGCTGGTGAGGGGCTCTTGATCTAGGAAATTGGATCTGTGCTCAGATTCCCTAAATTGAGCCTGAATACCTTCCATCATCCCCCTCTCCCCACATGCATTGTGTAATACTACAGGTTTAGCACTCCATGATAATCTGACTAAATATCTATGACGTCTTACTCGAGGACAGTGCTGCTCTTGAGAACTGACATTACCAACAGCTCCAAAAGTTGGACAGACTTTCCTAAAACTGAGGTCCTCCCATGTACATTCATCCTGCATCATACTGTTAAGACTAACAGTTTAGTTCGTGTGTGAAAGCTCATTTGCCTGCTATAACATCACATTTGTTCTTTTGTGATTACTTCCATTCTTATTTTTATGCCACTGGTATTAAACTTCCTGGTGGTGGATTTGTTAGGAAAACCTATACACAAGCCACCATTGTTTACTAGACTTGGTGTTTTCACAGCAGTTGTACAAAATTCTCATGTCTATCGTGTTGTCGTGGTTGTCAGACTTGCAGGTGCATTACAGGCTATCCAGACCTTAAGACTTCATCCCATTTCTTCATATTCCCAACTTCTGTTATGTCGCATTTCTAGTTAACACGAGCAAGTCACTTTTTAATGGTTCCATAGACCTGCCAATATTTGGGGTAACACTGCAATAAGTCCCACAGTGTAAATTAATACAATAGTAAGGGCATAAAACAATGAGAATGTTTTAAGAGTCAACATTGATAAAAAAAAAAATATCAAGAGAATACCAGTGAGAAACTATGCAACATTAGCCAACTTTTAGGTGATACAAATGAAAACAAAACTGCAAATGCTGAAAGCATTGGATATGCCATAGCTGACGAGATTTGTCTTTCCCATTATAGCTGCTATTGATCACCCTTCAAGATGTATATACTCTAAAAAGAGCAGGTGTTGGACCCTTTACAACAGGAAATAATCATAAGCTAAACAAGGAGCTAATACTATGGATGTTCTTTTTCCAGGTTATTGAAACTACCCTTCATTTGGTTAAACAATTGTTTCCTCAGTCTCCAAGCATTGAATGACCCAAGTGGGTTAAGTACTTCCCCATAATGTAATTCATCCACTGGAAAGGGAAAACTAAATAAACACCACGAGCTTTATTTTGCCCTTGTTTCTACAAATGGGTAATAACACCTGATGTTACCAGGTATGTAAGAAAGCATGGTTGTAAATTACACCAATTTTTTTTTTTTTTTAAATCAAGGTGAAGTGTTAAAATGTGCCACAGGGATGTTTTGTATTTCTTCAGTGCAAAAGTGGTAAGTTTAATGAGCTAAGTAAAAGCAAACTAAAGGTTAAAAATCAAACACATGCCACGTGCCCCTCAAAGTAGAGGACTTGGTGATGGACATTATCCAAGAAATTTGACAAGATTTTCCCTTAGATTGAGTAATTTTCTCCATTATGACCACTACAGGTTTACTGCTCCCCCCTTGCATACAATAATGGGACATTCCAAGCAAATGGCTATGGTTGACACTTCTTGGTAGGACTGATTATATTACTCCTGGGGAAATGCTAAAATCATAGGGGTCACAGCATTTTGGTTAATATTATTATTATAAAGGTGGCTCAAATTCCATGGTTCAAGTCCTTCAAAGTAAGGCACCTCATCTGAAAGCCAAACCTGCACATTCTGCTGCTCATCTATAGATGTATGCCATGTAGTGGGTAATAGTTTACAATTCCCCAAACCTGTTAATGGATGGGCAACTTAGTATGATCAGTGAACTACAGGTTTGACTCGTGATGCATGATCAACTCTATTGATGCAGCACTGCATTGTCAAGGAGTTTCTTTAATTTATATAAAAGTAATTACAGCACAATCCCAAGATTTTTCACTTTGCATTGTAAATACACTGTACATAATAGCTTTTAATTCCAACACTTTTTTTCTAATCCAGCAATTATATGCATGCCCTTGAAGGAAATGGTAAAGTTGTATTTCATCAAATATTAACTTCTATTCCCCATGCACTATGACAATATTTAGGATGTCTGATCGACCCTTTCAGTGTCAGTACAGTTGTATCACGGCTTTGAAACCAGTGTCAGTCCAGTAGTATGATGCCATGAGCTCAGCCCTCATAAGCTGTGAGCAGTAATTTGAGACTACATATAAGAATGGGTCTATGTAGTAAGTGCACACCATATAAAAAAAAAAAAAATCCTGCAGCAACCAGTGCAGGAGGGGGAAAAAAAAAACTGGTTTAAAACTGCAACTCTGCAGTGTATTTTTTTATGGTTGTATTGTGTTTCTTGGCCTCACTTAAGAGTGGAAGATATATTACAGAAATAGACATGATTTTGAATAGTTTCAGGACAAAGTAGCCTGAAGTTGAGCTCATAGTAGAAATTTTAGATTTTTGCCAACATTTCAGAATACACTAATGCATGGTCAACTGTGTTGATGTAGCAGGCTGCTTGCAGTGTCATGTAGTTTTCCTCTAATTTTATATAAAAGTAATTGCAGCACAATCCATGATTTTTCAGTTTGCACTGTAAATATATACCATGTATAATACACGTCCAACTGCATTTTGGAATGCACTAACATTTGTACAATTACAATAATGTAGCACGTATCCATAAAAGTAAATTTTGTGTGAATAAAAATTCAAAATGAATAGCAAGTGAAATATAAGAGTGGCCTGGAGATGTGACTGAGGAGCAGAGGAAATTTTTATTTAGTGGACCCTATTTTCAAATTTGCAATTTTTGAATTTTGTGTAAAATGGGCCAAATTACCAATTTCTCATCTCATTATTGGGTAGTTGAAATAAGTAAATGGGCAGTTTCTTGTACTCATTCGACAGAATAGAAGGAATACTAGTGAATTAGCAGAGTTTGGTCGACTAGAACAATGGAATTAGCCAAAAATAGTGTAAAGCGAGTAAAAATGCCAATGTATAAATATCGCAGAGACCACTAACTTTGCAAGAGCACAATTCCACGAGTTTCCCATCAAATTTCGTACTTTTGGTTTCATTACCTTCAGAAAATGATTCTCTTATTTCACAGGATGAATATTTTTTTTTCCTGAAAATTCAACCCTGGGAGCAAGTTTGCGAGCAGGGGTCATGACACTGAAAGCGTTAACAAAAAAAAAAAAAAACCATATGGGTTATACAACACCTGGGAAAGAGCAAGGGGTTTTCTGACCTGATCCGAGGAAACTAAGTGGGCAATTCTGTTTTCCCTATTCACCTATTAATAGACACTTGTCAGTTTTGTGGCTACAGAAAGCAAGTAACAAACAGCTCAGCCAATAAAGAAACAAGGGGGGGGGGTCTCCCCCCACATGCCAAAGTGCTGTTATAAAGGCAATGTTTCAATTCCTTTCTCTAACAATTAACAAGCATAGTACAGTACACAGTTTAATGAATAAACTTATGAGGGAGGGTTTAAATTCACACTGGATTTTCCCCTTTTATTTTAAGATTTCTATATAGTTATACATCACTGACAAGCTGCACTAGACACCAAACAAACATAAAACAGACATTAAAAACCAATTTCAATAATCCTTATGTAGAAAAATAACAGCCTGGAAAATCAATGCAGACCTTGCGCTCGCTCTAACACAAACAATCATTCTCGAAACACATCTATACAATTATCCAGATACATCCTAGTTTTAAAGGTGTCAAGTATATTCTGTACAAGTGTACATTTCCTATTGGGAGGCAAGAAGTTATGAATATCTTGTAAAATCTTTCATAATATAGATATTATTGCTCAGGGGCATGTTGGCACCTGGATACTACTGTTGTTGGCGTGGTTACGGCCACTGGCCGCATCCCTCCCCTCCACTGCCACTCCCACGGCGACTTTATTAACGCAGTATTAATGTGCCTGGCACAGTTCTCCACCAGACCCGGAACTCTTGGCTCCGGCTGGGATCATAGAAAGGATCTTGATATTTAAAATATAAAATTACTACCTCAATGGCATGGGACCAGATGTACACTTAAATCACATGGTTATGAAGGAGTTGTGGTAGTTGCAGAGGGGAATTAAGTCTTGTGTGACACTTTGGGAAATTTGTGGCATGCCCAGGACTCTGGACAGCAGGGTCGTGGCAAGTGTTGGTGGGGCATTAGAAGCCGTGCACCTTTATTTGCTCAGCCTTAACCAGCCCCACCTTCGTCAAAAATTGGCAAATATTTTCTCGCTGGTCACCCTGTAGTTGCAACACCTGTAAAAAGGCAGTTTTATGAGACTCAAATACTTGAACCAAGTATAAAAACTCATTTTTATATTAATACAATCTATAATTTGTTGGCATTCCTTCAAGAAATTAAATGTGAATGACATACAATACCGACAAGATTAAATGCATTAAGGCACAACAGATAGTAATCCTAATATCTTCAATTAGTACAGTGCAAGAACAACATGCCATAACACTAATGCCAGTTCATGTAACTCTTGAATGCCTAATTCCAAACTGAAGCTATTTAAAGTGCAAAATCCTATAGGAATGGAAAAAAAATGGATATTAACATGCTAGACATTAAGAAATTTTGCTTAACAGAAAACTGGTAATTGTCATGTTTGTACAGTAAGGTACTGTAGAAGAAAGTGACAAAAATTGATATATGGTCCTTTGAAAAACTCGTCTGTACCATGTTTCATTTCACATGAATAAGGTTTAGGGAGGAAAAAAATAGTCTAAAAACTAAGTTTATAATTTTCATATTTGTTAGTTGAAATAGAAAAGGCTCTTGGCTATGCTCTTAAACCAACAATCAATATTCTTTTCCAATAACTGCCAAGGAAAACCTTCAAAAAGCTAAGTTCATATAATAAAAAAGAAAGTACTAAAAAACCTGGACAAATGCTAAGTATAACATTAAGTTATAAAAGAATGGGGCTACATTAAAACAGATTTCAACTAACCAAATGTACAAGTAAAATGATGATAAACAACATTGTACCAAGGTAATCTGCCACAAACCAATAAAAAAAAAAAAAAAAAAAAGCAAGTAACAACCTCCTAGAAACAAAAACAGGCTACAAAATTGATAATTGCCAACATGCCACTATCAACAACAGCCTAGTTAGAGATGAAGCTTGGCCAAAGGCCAGGCCAGTATGGTATAGAAGCCTTTAAAATGTATTGCATTTTTCATACAGGTGGCAAGAAAGCAAATATTGGGGGGGAAGGGGGGGGGGTTAAATAACCCTAACCCTACATTAGTGGGAGACGGCTAATGTGTAACAAAATTTAAAGAAAATGTTGCAAAACTAAAGAGTTAGAAATTGGTAAGTATTTTTTTGCACTCAATCTATTATCAATATTAAAGACATTGCACTTACTTCTCCGTATTCAGGGTGCTCTACCACTGTGCCGTTGCATGCAAATTCCTTTTTGCAAGCACGCACAATCTTCTTCAGATCATAGTCCGAAGACAGACCCTGCACCGTAGTGAGCGTCTTTCGGCCATTGCGCTGCTGGATTCTGATCAATTTTCAAGATGCATTATAACATTATAATCAAAAAGAAGCGCTAAGCCACAAGGACTATACAGCTATAACAATATAGAATAATTAAAACACAACTAAATTAATAATTACCCAAAATGTCCCCAATTTATAAATGACATGTTTGATAGGTTGGTGTGTGACGAGGTCAAGAATAATGGCACATGACACATTGGAAGGCAGGGAAAATTGTGTACTAATACAATGGACATCACCTGCATACAAGTACATTGGGCACAGTTACAAGGTAAATAAATATGCACAGAGTAATACCCCCCCAAAAAAATGAGTGCAAGCTATCCCTAAAAATATAAAAAACTACTAAAATACCAAAGAAATCTTTCTCAGCTTATCACAATGTCCTTTTAATGTTAGGTTTAAGGATTGCAATGACCCTAAGTTGTGTATCCATCTCTGCTGTGAAACTTTCAAAATGTTTTTGTAGGCTATTTAATTCATGTTAAATAAAAAAAAAAATATATAATCATTTTCATTAATAAAAAAAGAGTAAGGAGCAGAGGGAGGTCAAGCAGATGTTAAACATTGCCAAAAAACCTACTG